CAATGTATTTACGATTAGAATCAGGAGGTGAGCTACAAAAGCAATGGTAAAGATAATGGTGATAAGGGTGAGGAAGCTTGTTGAATGTGGCGGTTTAGTGAGAGGAGGACTTAATCTAGCTCTCCTATCCTCCCTAGTCTCCAGAGAAAAGAAGTTGTGGGGGTCTCTATCTCCTGGCCTCTTAGGGAAGCATTTATCCACCCATCTATTTCCCAAGGCCAAATAAAACCCATTACCCACGTGTTCTCTACTGCTCATGTGTGGGAAATAGAACTTCACAATTAAAGTGAAAAACCAAAACAGCTATGACCTAGTGGTATTCGGTTCTCCTGCTTCACCGTTGACTTGCTCCGTATATCACACTTAAATCTCACCTAAAACCCAATTATAAACCTTAAATGGGTGCAATATAGGGCAAGTATGTTTAAATATCAACTCGGGTCGGTCCATGTACCCCTACTTCAATTGTTTGAACAATTATCTAGCGGAATGAAGTCTATAAGAATCTCTACAATCTACGATTGGAAGTGCAAGGCTTGAAAAGTAAAAGGGTTGACACTCTTGGTGAGAAGCTTCACTCGGGGATTGTTTCCCCATAACTAACTACCATGAACTATGGGGTCGAATGAATTGGTGTGTGACATGGAGATTGAGAACCGTAGGAAACCACACTCTCAATCGCTAGGCCAAGGAATTCATTATAGGCTACGAGAGTAGCCCTCTTGGCCCAAGCAAAAGAGGGTTGACTTACCTTCTCCCTCAAATCGGGGTTTGAAAGGCTTAATCACAATTAACCTAGGTGTCTAATTCGAGTTTAGATTTTTGTCTTACATTAACCTAGTTAGGAGGCATGGAATGCCTAAGAAAACCCAGCTCAATTTGAGTCTCTTAAGAAAAGGGGGTTTCTCACTAATCTAGGTTAGAGTAGCACAATAGATTGCCAATGGGGCAGGTCCGTGGCGGGTTTCTTGGTACCCAAACTCGCCCCATGGCAGGTCGGGTCTAGGTCGGGTAATTTATCACGAGTCACGGGTCGGGGCAGGTCGACCCAATGGGTATGCAATTTATATGAAAAACATTAGAAATATGCATTCTTTTTATTATTAGACCAAGGAAACAAACAGTATTATGATAAATGTAGTTAAATTATTGGATAAATTGAGGTTTTGACTAATTTAGAACTTTATTATAGATAAAATATGATGTAATAAAAAGAAAATCCTAAATAGTTTGACTAAACTTACATGCAATTTAGACAAGAGCGGGTCGAGAATGGGGCGGGTCAGGGCAGGTCGGGTCGATGAGAGTACCCATTCCAGCCCCGCCCCGCCCCGTGACCCATCCCAAAACAGGCCAAACAGGTCGGGTAAAACAAGTCAGGTCGAAATTGCCATCCCTACTTTATGGAGCTCAAATGCCACAAACGCCAAAGAGAAACGGGGATAAAAAGTGTACATTTAGGCCCGAATAAACCGCTATGATTGAAAGGTTGCGGCTAACTTGGATGGGTTTGGGATGATGTAATTTATCATGTTAAATTTAGCTATATGAAGCTTTACAACTCTTCTCATTAACCTTATGAACAAATAGAAAATGGGATCCAATGTGAATTGTAACCTACTTGATTTACGTATTAAGCAATTTTTGAGGGTGGGTGTTACAATTCCTCTCCTTTAAATAAATTTCGTCCCCGAAATTTACCTTGAAACAAGTAGGAGTACTGATTCTACATGTTCTCCTTTGTTTCCCATGTAGCTTCCTCTCTTGATTGGTTTCTCCAAATTACTTTGACCATAGGTATACTACGATTTCGGAGTAGCTTGGGTTTTCGATCGACAATCTCCACTGGTTCCTCTATATAGCTTAAATCTTCTCGTATCTCAACTTGTTCAGGTTCTAGAACATGTGAGGGGTTTGATCGGTATCTCCGGAGTACACTTACGTGAAATGCTTTGTGTACTTGAGCCAGTTTTGGGGGTAAGGCTGATTTATAGGCTACTGGACCTATCTTCTCCAAAATCTCGTAAGGTCCAATGTACCTAGGACTTAGCTTGCCCTTCTCTCAAAATCGAAAGATTCCCCTCCACATTGACACTTTCAGAAACACCTTATCACCCACATCAAACTCCATTTCTCTTCGATGAGCATGGGCATAGCTTCTCTGTCGATCTTAGGTAGCTTTCAACCGATCCCAAATCACTTTAATTTTATCAACTGTAGCTTGCACTATTTCAGGCACTTCAAGTTGTCTCAAGCCCTCTTCATCCCAACATACCGGAGTTCTACATTTTTGCTCGTATAATGCTTCATATGGTGCCATGGTTGTTTTATGCAAATTCTATCAACGATAAATTTTCATCCCATGAGCCATGGAAATCCATGACACAAGCCCTTAACATTTCTTCCAGGGTGAGTATGGTACGCTCAGATTGCCCATCGGTTTGAGGATGAAAGGCAGTAGAAATTTTCAATTGAGTACCCAAAGCATCTTTTAGGCTCCGCCAGAACTGTGAGGTAAATATCAGATCTCGGTTAGATACTATAGATATGGGTAGGGATGGCAACAAAACCCGAACCCACGGGTACCCACCCGACTCAACCCGGTCAACGCGGGTAAAATCCGTGTTGACGGGTTTTGGGCCGGGTTTGGGTTTAAACCCGTTCACTATTCATCGGGTTGGGTTGGGTTTGGGTTTAGGTAAACCCGACCCATGGGTACCCGCCCACACCCATATAATTAATTTTCTCGATATATTTAATATTCTAAACAACTAATCTTATTTATGTTTGTGGAGACATGTCTAATTTTTCTTTCTAATTGTGTAGAGCGAAGTTGATGTTATCGAGTGGAGAGTGAAGAAACTTAATTGAAAGGAAGAATTTTTCAATTAATCATGTTATTTATGGATAATTTATGATTTGCTTCAATTTTCTTGAGTTTTCTAGATTGGTGTTGAACAATTTGTATAGTTAATTTGTGATTTGCTTGAATTTCTAGAATGGTATTTTATATATGAATAATTTGTATTGAGAGATTGATATTTAGTTTTAATTTTGATAGGAACTTGTTATTGTAATTTTTTACGACAAAAACCCGTGGGTACCCATGAACCCGTGGATACCCAGCGGGTTGGGTTGGGTTTGAGTTTTTCAAACCCAGTGGGTTTTACCCCGGGTTTTTTCCACGGATAAACCCATGGGTTTGGTTTTGGGTTTGGCAAAACCCGACCCAACCCGACCCATTGCCATCCCTAGATATGAGCACTCCATGTAATCGTATGGTCTCTTTTACATACCTTTTTGCCAGATGCTCCAATGAACAGCCCCATCTGATAGGAATAAAATGAGCCGACTTGGTTAGTCGATCCACAATCACCCAAATGGCATCATTCTTCTTTGGAGTTCTAGGCAAACCATAGACAAAATCCATAGTAACCTTTTGCCACTTCCATTCTGGAATGGGTAATGGTTGTAACTTCCCTGTCGGCGCTTGGTGTTCAGCTTTCACTTGTTGACATACTAGACATGTCAACACATACTCTGCCACTTCCTTCTTCATTCCAGGCCACCAATAATGTGATCTCAATGAATGGTACATTTTTTATGCACCAGGATGCATCGCGTAAGGTGAGGAGTGAGCTTCCTCCAAGATCTCCCTACGCAATTCATCCACATTTGGAACACATAATCTACCATTCAATGAAAGGACTTCATTCTGGAATTCAAAATTTACATCCTTCCCGTTCTTAATCTCCTATATTATCTTGTTAAGAAAAGGATCACAAATTTGAGCTTGTTGAATCCTTTCTCGTAAGATTGACCGAACTTGTAGAGTAGCTAATAACACCCCATCATTATCCACGCTAATATTTGCATTCAATGCCTGTAAAGCTAGCATTTCCCGAGTGGGATTTAATGTAGGCTGTGAATCGGAGTGTTTTGATTTCCGACTTAAAGCATCAACTACAATATTGGCTTTACCCGGATGGTACCCAGTAGTACAATCATAATCTCTCAACAATTCCATCCATCTTCTTTGCCTCAGATTCAACTCTTTTTGCTCCATCGGGTACTTCAGACTCTTGTGGCCAGTGAAGATTTGGAAAGTTTCACCATACAAGTAGTGTCTCCAAATCTTTAGAGCAAAAACTACTGCCTCCAATTCTAGGTCATGGGTAGAGTAGGATTTTTCATATGGTCGCAATTGTCTTGAGGCATAAAAAATCACCTTCCCATTTTGCTTTAGAACACTACCCAAGACTTGATGTGAGGCATCACTCTAAACCACAAAACCACTTGTCCCTGTTGGTAGTGCTAGGACAGGTGCAGTTGTGAGTTTCATCTTTAGCTCTTCAAACTAGCTTGGCATTTAGAACTCCACACATAGAGATGATCTTTCCTCATCAATTTTGTCAATGGTGAGGCGATGATAGAAAATCCCTTGATGAACCTTCTGTAATAACCTGCCATTCCCAAGAAACTTCGCACTCTGGTACACTCTTCGGTGGTTCCCATTTCTCCACGGCTTCCACCTTTTTCGGATCAACTTCAATTCCCCTTCCCGAAACAACATATCCCATAAATATAACTTTATCCATCCAGAAGTCACACTTGCTAAATTTAGCATACAACTGCTTCTCCCTCAATATTTGAAGCATTATCCTCAAATGCTCTCTATGTTATTCTTCACTTCTAGAATACACCAAGATATCGTCTATGAAAACTATCACAAACTTATCTAGGTACTCTTGGAAGACCTTATCCATCAATGACATAAAAGCAGCTGGAGCATTTGTTAGCCCAAATTAAGGGTGGCTATACGGTCCGGTCCGGTTAAATTGGAACAAATTGATCTGGTCCCAGTCCGGTCTTTTCGGGAATATTAGGACCAAAGATTGGATTGGATACAGTCCGGTCTTGATCCGATCCGGTCTTGACCCGGTCCGGTCCCAATTTGATCTTGATTTTAGATTGAGCTTGTGGGGATTTGAGTGTTGGGGTCTCTTATCCGGTCTTTATCCGGTTTTTTACCTCAAATCTAAGCCCGAATATGAGATTGGATTGTTTGCTATCCGGTCCCAGTTCGGTCCCGGTCCGGGTTATACGGTCCGATTTTGGGTAAAACCAAACAGTCTGGACCAAATAGCCAGCCTACTCCAAATGGCATAACAAGGAATTCATAATGTCCATACCTCGTACGGAAAGCTATTTTAGGTATGGCTTCCTCTGCCACCTTTAATTGATGATATCCTGACCTTAGGTCAATTTTGGAGAAGACTTTTGACCCTATCAGTTGGTCGAATAAATCATCAATAATGGGAAAGGGATATTTATTCTTCACAGTCACCTTGTTTATCCTTCGGTAATCGATGCATAACCAGAGGGTTTCATCCTTCTTCACAAAGAGTACGACAGCACCCTACGGTGACACACTTGGCTTTGTGAATCCCTTATCTAGCAACTCTTGTAGTTGCTCTTTCAACTCCTTCAACTCCGCAGGCGCCATCCTATACGGTGGTATAGAAATAAGTGTGGTGCCCGGTAACAATTCGATAGTGAATTCTACCTTCCGATCATGAGGTAGTCCTGGCAGGTCAGATGGAAACACATCCAGGAACTCATTCACTACTTCTACATCTTCTGGATTTTTTTCTCTTCTTTAAATTCTACTACATGGACAAGGAAGGTCACACACCCCTCCTTAATCAAGCTCAACACCTTGGAAGCATATATTAGGAAACTAGGTATTGCTTGCCTAATTCCACTAAAGACAACACTTCCTTGCTCGAGTATCTCAAATACCACTTCTTTTGTGTGACAATTCACTACAGCCTTATGTCGACTCAACCAATCCATTCCCAATCAAAATCAACATAGACATAATTGATCACAATAGTATCACCAACGGGGGTTTCCACAAATATTTTGCTAGGCAATAATTCAAGTCGAGCATGCATATGTTGTGAAAATTGACGAGACATGAACGAGTGAGTATAACCAGGATCAATTGAGGGATAAACGCGTTTATCATGGATGAGAACCATATTGGTAATCACTTATGGAGTTGCATTCGCCTCTGTTCTTGTCATAGAAAATGCACATGGTTGTATGTCAGCTCTGCCTGTTTGACCAACTGCATGCCCTCTGACCTCAGAACCACGTCCTCATCCCCTGCTATCTCCACCTCTAAGATTTCCCCTTGAGAAGTTATTGGCCACTCGGGATCCCTGCATAGTGGTTTGGGACCTAACAGGCACCAGATCTTCCCAAGTTGGATTGTCTTTAATGTGATGCCCAAAACCACCACATTTAAAACAAGCACCCGTCATGATCCGACATTCTCCCCGATGCATCCTTCCACAATGTTGACATTCAGGTGGTGGAGGTGCACTCATCTGGGTTTGGTTAGTAGGTCCCTAGGGAAACTTACTCGAGGATGTTGATTAAAGTTCTTTTTTTCTAAGACCCCGACTAGAAGCTCGACTTTAACCTACTGACGATGATCCCTTCCACTTCCTTTTCCTATCTTCAATCCCGTAACTTTGAGTACGGGGGCTTGTTCTCATTTAAAATCAATTCAGATCATACTGCAGCTGCCTTCAGTCTACCATAACCCTCTGTACCCGACATGGCTACAAGTTCCCTTAACTCTTTTCGCAACCCCCTATCAAATCGAAGGCACTTATATTTTTAGTTGCGACCATATCCATGGCAAAAGTCATCCAAGGATGAAAGGTCGCCTCATATTCATTCACTGTCATGTCTTCCTTTTGCTTCATCATTAAGAACTCCACCTTCTTCTGATCTTGGTAAACGACTAGCACATGTCGCTCTTTGAACAGTTGGAGAAAACGTTCCACGTGAGTTGAGCGGTGTTATCCGTAACTCCAGGTACGGTTAACCACCAATCATAAGCATCTTTTTCGAGGAGAGCTACAACATAATCAAACTTGACGTCATCAGGGCAACCAATTTGATTGAGAATTTTCTCAGTCTTTTTCAGCCAATCTACAGCCTCTTTGGGATCTATAGAACCCTTAAAGGCCTCAACACCCATCTTGCACACCTCAGTATAATCCCTTTTGTAGGGAACTACCCAAGGTTGGTTATTAGTTTGAGGCTCAGCTTGATTTTCTGGGGGAGACTAATTTGAACCTACTACTTGAGGTGGCGGGGAATGCACTCTTCCTCTTTCACTGAACTCCACATGAAAATAACAAGGAGAGCAAAATCAGAACCAAATTCTTAACTATACTTTCAACTTGAAATCGATTTCAAAATCGTTCAAAACTATATTCAAATCAATTCAATTTCGAGGGATCATATCTCAGCTCTGATACCAAATTTGTAGCACCCTGCTACTACATGTAATATCCTACCACTTCATCTCGTGCTTATGGAAACATCATCACCTTATATATTCATTAAGACTTAGGTTTTAACTTCACATTCAGACCTGGACATAACTCTAGCATACTGGTTACATCACCTGCTTAGGAAATCAAGGTAGTTTTCCCAAAGCATCAAAAGCAAAACACCAAACGGTGCAAAGTCTGAGTTTAAAACAAAGTACAACCGAAATAGTAGTTTAACATTAAGTGGGTACACAAGCTTCAAAGCATTAAAACATTTAGTTCGACTTCAAAAGTGAAAACATGTGTAGAGTTCAGTTCCGCCGTACACCTTTCAGCCATCCGGCTGACATCACTGGTTTGACCGAGACGTCAGTTGTTGCTTTGGCTCTGAACGGGAAAAAATATTGGCGGGGTGAGATGCCACTCAATGAATAATTATTAACCCAATATATATATATATCAGTTGCGCACAGCGATCATGTACATTAAGGGCTTAAGTTAACTTAATGATTCTATTTGCTTAAATGGTGTTTTCCCCAAATAGGTAATCAAGAATAATTAATCAATTCAAGTAGTTCTCATCTCATACACGCTTACCCTTGAGTTACTCATAAAAAACCCTATCACATTCACATGTAAAACATCAAGTACGATGTCACCCTGGCATCATCATATAATCACAACATATGAAGGTATTAAACTACTTCACAATCTCATGATAAATCATTGTATGATAGATCATAGCCAAAACCATCACATGAACACATAATCCACCTAAACGGTTTGTTTAGCATCTCATAGAAACATCAGTTAGACACATTATAAGAAATCATGTTGTACCAACACTCAAACACATGCATAGTTAGACAGGTTATGCACATTTTACTTTTAATGCCAAGTTATGCACACCCCCTCATGAACTCGTAATCTCGTAGGCACAAAGTGCCAAATTTCATAAACTCGTGGGCACAAAGTGCCATATCACATAAACTCGTGGGCAAGAACTGCCATATCTCGTCAACTCGTTGCCAGGCCTGGCGATACTCCTGATAGGAAGTTCTTGTATAACTCTTTTCTTCTCTTTTTCTTTTCATGAGTGCATAACAAGACACCATTATGTTTTTATTAGGTGACCACATAGTTCATGGGTTAGACAATACTCATGCAATACATCTCGGCATAAGCTGGTAGGCACACATATCATATCATATCATATGCTCATTGATGTCATACACAACCATCTCAAATGCACATCAATACATTTTTCACATAGCTCATTCATCAACGCACGTGAAGATGGAAACCTCTTACATATCCGCATCAAATTTCAATAGTCATCATAGAAGCATATACTCATTCATAGCTCATTCATCGATCTATTACAAGTCCATGTATCTGGGCCGCTTCATGACATGAATTCCATGCCCATGCTAAAATATGTATTAGGTTAAGAATTACTCACAACTCGATTACTATGCTAAAACCTTTTGCCTTGATGTTTCCCGGCTTGCTCCTTGCCTTTAAAATCATATAATTAAACTCGTTCAGTTTGGTAAAACACATCGATTAATTAAACCATCCCACCTAAACACATTCATATGTATAATTAACCGAGAGGTGCCCAAAAGTGCCAACACCTTTCACAATAAGTGGGTGCAAGTTTAATCTCATAATTAAAACCCCCATCCTTAAAATGATTACGCGGGATACATATATGTTCATACATGTATAGTTGACTAGTAATATATAGTATATATATACATACACATACACATCATTAATTTAATATATTCATTTAAGTAGCTTTTACGTATATAAATCCATTTAGCACCCACCTTTCATTCTCTTAGTAGAAATGCTGAAATCCACCATTTGAAAATCATCTTCCTCCACACACGAATTGAAGGACACAGTCACTCAGGAGTAACCACCACTATTATCACCCATGCATTAGTTGGCTGAGCCAAATCTGGCAAAATATAACCTCATGCAAGCAATGTATTTACGATTAGAATCAGGAGGTGAGCTACAATTGCATGCTTAATACTTAACCCTCTATCTATCCCCTCCTTCCTTATCCTGATGGCTGAGCCTTTAAAGAAAAGATTAAGCATACCTGATATAGTCACTACTCCCCCCTGAGTCGATCACCTAGCTGTATGCACTCTTTCAAAAGCAATGGTAGAGATAATGGTGATAAGGGTGAGGAAGCTTGTTGATGGTGGCGGTTTAGTGAGAGGAGGACTTTAGCTAGCTCTCCTATCCTCCCTAGTCTCAAGAGAAAATAAGTTGTGGGGGTCTCTATCTCCTGGCCTCTTAGGGAAGCATTTATCTACCCATCTATTTCCCAAGGGCAAAGAAAACCCATTACCCACGTGTTCTCTACTGCTCATATGTGGGAAATAGAACTTCACATTTAAAGTGGCAGCCCAAAACAGCTATGACCTAGTGGTATTCGGTTCTCCTGAACTTCACATTTAAATTGCAGCCCAAAACAGCTATGACCTAGTGGTATTCGGTTCTCCTGCTCCACCACTAGGATTGAAAGGTTGTGGCTAACTTGGATGGGTTTGGGATGATGTTATTTTTCATGTTAAATTTACCTATATGAAGCTTTACAACTCTTCTTATTAACCCCATGAACGAATAGAAAATATGACCGACATGTGAATTGTAACCTACATGATTTACGTATTAAGCGATTTGTGAGGGTGGGTGTTACATCGCATCGAATTTCAGGCGCAGCCCTATATCAAATTTCTTCCGATTTTGGGGTCTCGTCGGTCTCCAAACTCTCGAAGTTTGGTTTCCCCCAGTTTCTCTCTCTCTCTCTCTCTCTCTCTCTATATATATATATATATATATATATATATATATATGCTTGTAGCCTTGTTGTTTGGCTTAATTGCAAGTTTGGTCACTCGAATTGCTACAAAATTTCACGTTTGCCACTCAAATTAATTTATTCCTTTTATAGTCACTTAAATTAGGTTAACAGTCCAAGTTTGATTACTGTCCGTTAGTCTCCGTTAACTTTTGCTGATGTGGCGGTCAACTCTTATAGTTGACCGTTAAATACATGACGTGGCAATTAAAAATTAAAATAATTAAAAAATTAAAATTTCCACCTCAACTATTAAAAAATAAAAATAAAATTAAAAACCTTTTCTAATCTAACCTCGGCTCGGGTTGCTCTGTTTTTAGACGAAGGTGACGACTTCAATTGTCAAAGATGCCAACAACAACTATAATCAGTTAAGGGAAGAAGGTAAAGTAATTTGGTACTGAATCTTCATGGCTAACTACCCTTTACCTAATTGGAGATTGCTTTATGGCCTGCTCTTTACCACTAACTACCTTCATTATTCAAATCGTCATGATGATTTATTATTAGCTATAGTTCACGACTTCACGTCGCTTGACCTCTGAGCACATTATGATAGAGCATGTCTCTATGTTTTTCCCCCCTTCCACACAGCTGGACTCCAACCTCAACTCTCAGCTCGGCGACACCAACAACGACCTCACCATCTTCGGCCCCAGCGACGCCGCATTAACAAATTGAAGACCCCCGACCGGTCATTGAACCGGCAGGAGAAGATACAGCTCGTGCAGTTCCACATCGTTCCCACATTCATCTCGAGGAAGCAAAGTTTGAAAGATATGAACTTTAGTCGAAATTTGGTATGGATTTGGGTACCAAAGTTTGAAAGATCTGAACTTTAGTCGAAATTTGCTACTCGGAAAAGGAAAACAGAGTCCCAACTTGTTTATGAAGGGATTCGTGTAAGTGAAAATTGGAAGCTGATTAGGAGACGGAAACAGAGTGGCCTACTCATATATATACACGAACGAAACTGGAGATTCATTATAAGAGGGAAGGAACCAAACGCAGAGATATAGCTAATCACTGCGTTCTGTTTCTACTTTTGTGTGAAATTTACACCCGTTAGCCGCTCAAGGCTATAACGTCCGTCATGAACAGAGACGTACCAATGCCGCCGGCAGCGAAGAATAAGTGCGACACCTGCACGGAACAGGCCAGTAAGAAGGCTATCACCGGGGCAACGAGTCGTTGGAAACTTCTGCCGGAATCGTCGCTCGTGCGAGAAGCTGCGTACGCGCGTCCCGGAGGGCTTTGGTGATCGGACCAGGTCGGTGGTTGTCTTTCCCCCTTTTCTGGTACCCAATGTTTTTTATTTTTTGCAGTCTCGCATTTAATTAGTGTAGGATTAGAAAAGGTTTTTATTTTCTAATAGTTGAGGTGGAATTTTTAATTTTTAATTTTTTTTTAAATTTTTAATTGCCACGTCATGCATTTAACGGTCAACTATAAGAGTTGACCGCCACATCAGCAAAAGTTAACGGAGACTAACGGCCAGTGACCAAACTTGGACTGTTAACCTAATTTAAGTGACTATAAATGGAATAAATTAATTTGAGTGGCAAACGTGAAATTTTATAGCAATTCGAGTGACCAAACTTGCAATTAAGCCCTTGTTGTTTCCTTTGCAGGGGAGCAGATCCGGTGAGTAACCTTGTGGTGAGTAACCATGAGTAACCCGTCCACATCAGCATGACATCAGCATCCTCTCTCTCCTGGAAAGCCTTTAATTTTCCTCTCACTCATTTTAAGTCGAAATTTAACTTTTTTTGCACAGTTAGATCACATTAATTGTGCTCTTCAAAATGATATCCACTTTAATATATTTTTCAAACAAAAAAATTCAGTCATTTTTTACCAGTCTATACCATATGGTATTGACTGGTATTGAAATAAAAGCATACCTATGGTTTGAAAAAAGCACCATGGTGGTATGAACAAACCAAGACTGTAGGATGGTTGAATACATGATAGTAGAAATATATTAATTGTTATTTACGACTTTTAACATTGTATATCACAAGATACCACCCCGTACCAGGGTGGTATTGTATGGTATTGTGTGGTATTTTTTGGTCCTGTAATTTGTTCACCCATAAATTTGTAGATCCAATAGATCATGATGAACTCATCCCTTCTGTGCAAACGTTTTCAAAAACGAATAAAAACGAAGAAGATACCATACAATACCACCCCGTACCGGGGTGGTATTGTATGGTATTGTGTGGTATTTTTTGGTCCTGTAATTTGTTTCCCCATAAATTTGTAGATCCAATAGATCATGATGAACTCGTCCTTTCTGTGCAAACGTTTTCAAAAACGAATTAAAAATGAAGAAAATACTATATGGTATTCAGTTGGTACCGAGAAGCCAAAATGTTTTGTTCTAAAAAAATATTGAAAATTGATCTCATTTTGTAGAGCACGATGAACTCGTTCCACCTGTGCAAAAATCCGAGTTAAAACGAAAAAGATATGAGCCGATTAAGAAAGCTAGAGAAAATAAAAATGCTCTTTAATTCTCCATCCTTAGATCTGAATTTTCTAAATGAAGGGTCCATATTTGGTTATTGATGGATGCATAACCAATGGTTATGCACCCTATCTTGAGCCTTTGCAGAACCCTCCAGTCTCCACCCAAACCCTAACCCTAAAACTTTCTCATGGAATTCTCCTCCGCACCACATCAGCTTAGCAGGCATGTCGAATCTATCCGTCCCTAATTTCTCAATATCATTGCTCTCCATGTGTAATTCATGGAGAGAGGAGAAATCCCTAATCGGGTTTAAAGGGATCTCTATCATTTCAAATCTCTTGTGACCTTGGGAGATAATGGTCGCGTGCTTTTTAAGGGGATTGGATCTTTGTGTTTATTATGTTGTTGTAACTCGCTTTGTTCGGTCCTAACTTCGAAGATCTCTGATTTTTTAGACCATGGGAGAAACAAGGAACAACGATGCCTATGAGGAGGAGCTTATCGATTACGAGGAAGATGAGGAGAAGGCCCCAGATTCCGCCGGCGGCAAAGTTAACGACGAAGCTGCAAAGAAGTAAGTTGCTTGACCTCCTGACTGAAGCATGTGACCGGCTGATTCTATGAGTTTCTACATGATTATTATGCTTTTACAGTTTTGTGGATTTTTGTCTGTTATATATAGAGCTGTCAAAATGTAACCCGATCCGATTAACCCTCCCGATCAACCCGATTGGATCTGCAACCCGCCCGCAACTCAGTTTGACTAAAAGTCAACGACCTGCAATCTGACTGACCCGCAACCCGATTGACCAGTAATCCGATAACTTGCAACCCAATCGACCCGTAATCCGATCCACTCAAGAAGGGGAAGAAGTGAATAGGCGATGAAGATGTAGGGTCTGGAGTCTGGACTTGGTGGAGAGGAGGACAAAAAAATAGAGTGGACACTGGATAGGAACGAAATCGAATAGTTGTAAAGGGGTTCTAATTTTTATGCTAAATTGCCGCCGAACACCAATTAATTGGCGGACAAAAAATGAAACTTTCCCAACTATGAACGACAGAGTTCAGGTGTCACACCCGGTGCCTAGACTTTTCACAAATTGCCAAATTCACCCTTAATTACTATGTTTAATTAAGCTAATTAATTAATTAAATTCTAACCTAAATGCATCCGGGATGATTCCTTCTCCCTCTCGGCCATTCTTCATGCGGATATATATATATGTAAAGACTAAACCTAAGGACGAAGAAAAAGAGGAACGAGAGCCCTAAACTAGTAAACACCGAAGCAGCAGCGCCGCCTTGCCTCCCTCTTCCCCCTTGCGCGATCAACCATCACTGCCACCTTCCAGTTCCCATCCCCGACCTCCCCTTCCTCCACCAGTAGCAAGCGAGCTCCCAAACGGTACGACAGCCGGCAGAGACGCAAGCCGGGAGCCGCCGAACGCGTACTGTTTCTTACGTACGCCGTGTCCTCTGTTCGCCAGCGCGGTAGCTCGGGATCGTCGTCTCTCGTTCATAGTTTTGGCGGCGGGATTACGGCGAACGACGATCGACGACGGAGAAACGACATCTGGGAAATCCTCAAAATCGTGCTTTGGGCTAGGTGCTGGAGGTAAGGATTTATCATCGTTCATTTGATTTGTAGAATCAGTTGATATTGGAGGGTTGTGGGAGATTTCAGTAGGTCATTTATTAAAGGAATGGGTTATCATCCTTACATATATATGGACGAATGCAATGGATATTTTATATATGGTGATGGGTCATTAAACCAAAGAAGCTCGTGATTGAGGTTAAAAACAAAAGCCCTTTACAATTTAGTAGCTAAGTTAGTTACGTGCATGGATAGAATGCATGATAGGTTAATTATTAGAAGGGGTTGAGTTGTTGAAATGAAATATGGATTATTAATGTAAGGCAAGTACGCGGGTATATGATCAGAGTGAGATTTACGTGCTCTATCTCTAGGAGAAAGTTAAAAGAAGAAGTAAAATGGTGCATGGACACGTACAAAGCCTATAAGGACGTTTCGGATCGTCGGGCAGGATATAAGTTGATAATCGACTTGAAATTAAGGTGCGTGGTTAAAGGGGACTAGAGTAGTTTTCGTTATCAGTCTATGCATTTAAAGTTCATTTATGCATTTCAGTTCTTGTTTTATGTTCAGTCATTCATTACATGCTTTCATGTTAAGTTAATTTGGTTACTTTCAGTCTTTATGTTAAGTATGCATAGTATCATGAAGCATAAGTAAACCATGTTATGAGACAGGTAAATACCAGTTCAATTCTAAACTACTCAAGTGCAAGTTAAGAACCTTATATCTTCCCATTGTGTGGGAGATTACCTTAAGTAAACTCAGAATTCTCAAGCTAAGTAAACAAGTATAAGATTAAGTATGACTCTCCATCGTGGGAGAGGTTGTTCAAGCAAGCACGTATAAGATATCAAGTTAACAAGTAAGAATAAGAACCCTCTCTTAACTAGTCGCACACGGTCACCTTACTCCTTGTAGATGAGGAGCACCTTATAGATGAGGGGTCATGATATGTATGTCAAGACCGGTGCCGGACGCGGTCACCACTACTCCCTGTAGATGGGGAGGTATGTTATGTTACTCATTGTAGATGAGGAGGTTATGTTCATGATACGTTGGTGCCGGACGGATGTGCTAGTTAAGTAGAGGGCAGGATCCCTTTTCAAGTTAAGAAAGTAAAAAAATATGATACGCAAGAATACGTTAATAATAATACACTGCTACTAATGTACCCAATGATGTACCATAAGCATTGCATGTGAATGGCTTTCCATTTAAGTATGATAACGAAATTAGGATTAGGACTGACCCCATCGCCCGCACTCAGGAGGTACAAGAAAGCAGGAGCATTCAGACCACTGGTCAAGAAGAAGCTGTTGCTCAGGATGTCATCGTCACAAGGGTTAGTGATTGCAAGAGATTCCAAGTGAACTCTTTCACTTTTGTACTTTTATTAGTAGGCTTGAGACTGATGCTCATTTATTATTTGTTAAGAGGGATTTCCTACGGCGATTTAAAAATTATTTTCTGTATTATTTCCATTTTGAGTTATCTTGATTACTTAAGGGTATTTTGGTAAATTTAGTGCTCGGCCGAGCAAGGGTGTTACATCAGGTGTCAGGATTATAAGTGAGTAATTATGAAAATAATGGGTTAATTACATGGTTGGTCACTGAGATTACAAAAAACGTTCAAGTTTGATCACTCGAAATATTTAAATCCATTGGTGGTACTTCAGTTTACTGAAACCGTTCACGTTTGGTCACTCTCCGTCCACTTGCGTTATCTTTATCCTATGTGGTGGTCAACTCTCATAGTTGACCGTTAAATAAGTGACGTGGCAATAAGAAAATAATTAAATAAATAAAATTTAATATTATTCAATTTCCAGCTCATTTTAATAATAAAATAAAATGAAAAAATAATTATTATAACTATAAAAAAAATGAAAAACAAAACTTAAACAAACCAAAGAACTCACAAACCGGAGGAAAACTTACCTCCTCCCATCAACCCCCACTTTCCCCATTCTTCTTCTTCTTCTTCCCCATTCTTCTCTTGTCGCAGATCTAAGAAAATCTTCACTACCCACTACCCAGAAGCCAAAACCCATTGCTCCTACATTCCTCTCCTCGACTGCTCCGCCACTCTCGGCGCTATCGGAAAGGTCACCAAGCGAAAGTCGAGCACCTAGTCAAAGAAGTCCCAGACCACATCCTTTAATGGAACTCTTCGGTACTGAAAAGTGAATCCGGCCGGCGAAAAAGTAGCAGTGATGGAAGATGAGGTTGGTCTATGTGTGTTTGGTGGATTTTAACAGGGGAGAAGATTGGGCTTTTGTGAAACAAAGTTTCCGAAGATTTCCTCTGCAATCTTTGAGTGTGTTTTTGCTTTGGGGTCGGCCGAAAGTCCAGCTCGTCCTCGCCGCCGCATAGTCGTGCACGGGTTTGGAGGCTCCATGAGGACGGATCAGCGATGACGGCGGAGAGATTCGACTTCTCGAGTCTGCGGTGAGATATTGGTAACGGACATCACGAGGCGTTGATGATGGGTGAAGACGGGATAGGGGTGAAACGGTTGCGATGAGGGAGGGATTAATTTCAGTTTTGGTAGTTGTATTTTATTTATTTTAACTTATTGTTAAATGAGGTGGAAATGAAAACGAATTAAATTTTATTATTTATATTATTTTTTATTGCCTTATCACTTATTTAACGGTGAACTATGACAGTTGACCGCCACATAGGTTAAAGATAACGGAATTAGACGGAGGGTGACCAAACTTGAACTATTCAATTAATTCCAATGATCACTATTGAAATTTAATATTTTTAGTGACTAAACATGAACTTTTTTTAGTAAACCTAGTGACTAAACTTGCAATTTACCCTGAAAATAATACCATAATTATAACAACTTGATTCGTAAAGAAAATTATGAAGTGCTTCATTTATGTTTTACATTGACTCATGAATTTTTATTTACGAAAAGAATCTGAAAAATATGTTCATCCTCCAAACTTATGAACAAATGTATTTTTATGGTACACATTTTTTGTGAAAAGAAAGAAGAAAATAAATTTAGTGTTTTCAAATTTTGAGCCTTTAAAATATGAATTTTTAGGTTTTATATGAAGGCCGTGACTAATTAACTATATTATTCTCTTATATGTAATGACTATTTGACTATATTAGATTTGAAAACCTAAAATAAGTTATCTTATCTTCAATACATTATCACTCGAATTATCTCAAATGCATGTTATTTTTTATATTATAAATCATGTTTTTTATCTATGTTTTGAAATCAAAGTCTTAATTTCACTTTTCATGGTCAAAGTCTTAATCATAACTCGTAAGACTATATGGTTAGGATATAAGAGATACGGTTTAGGGTATATCAAATATCCCTTTTTAATCTATATTTTGAAAATCAAAGTCTGAATTTCACTTTAAATTAACTATAACAGCAAAATCGTAACTCATAATGATATATGATTAGGGTATTAGGGTATATGGTTTAGGGTATATGATATATGGTTCGGGTATACCAAATATCACTTTTTAATCTATGTTTTGCAAATCAAAATATAATTTTCACTTTAAATTAACTATAGTAGCAATTTAGATTTCTCCCCAATAAGTTCACTAATAGTAAGATAAATAAAAACATAAGTTTTGAAAACCCAAATGTATAATTAAAGTTTACTACACCACTTGCTCGTACAAGTTAGATTTCTCCTCACTTTCCCCTCCCCAATTTAGATTTCCCTCAAAAAATTTCTTCATTTTCTCCTCCTTCCAATTTACATTTTCCTCCAAGAATTTCCCCATTATTTCCCCACTCCAATTTAGATTTCCCTACAAAAATTTCCCCATTTCCTCCCTCAAATTTAGATTTCCTCCGCCCACAATTTTACTTATATATTTTTATGATACACTATATAATTTGTGGTTGGATTAGGACTATTGAATGGAAAAATAAAAATGTTTATATCATCATAACTATTAGCTAGTGTGCTTTACCGATTTACGATTAATTATATGACAAGTTTGCAAGTCATACAACATGATTCAATATTTTTTAACTTCAATAAGTACATATAACATATTACATATACGATGTGGAAAGAAATAGTCTAAAAATTATGATTTTTTTAAATAGGTTAATAAAATGTGCAAATTGCAGTTACGAGTAGGAAGTAAGTAACTCAATTTGCAAACCCAAAAACCCGCAACCTACCCGATCCGCAACCCGATTGACCCGTGACACGCCAAAACACAACACCAAACTGCGACGAAGTGTAATCGCAGTCCGGAAATGCAGTAAAGTGGCAAGTTCTTAATATCAACCCGGGGTCTAGATCTACTGCCTACTCCGTGATTATCTATTATATAGCAAACTAAGTCGATTGATTATGGTCTTAACTGAAAGCAGAAAGAAAGCAGGAATTGGTTCGGTTTTCTCAAGCAAAAGAAGAGTAACTCGGGAATGAGTCCCCCTAGCTCCTTAGTTAGGTCTCAGTTGTAATTACCCTAGGTTGATTTACTGTTGATTAAACTGCGGAAGATCCGATAGTAGCTTGGAATCTCTTAAGCTGACCAAGCCCTCACAGTCTAACTACCAGGCAGACGACTAGTCTTCACCGGGATAGAAAGCTAGAGCAATGAGCACAGAACTCCACTACTGGAATTGGATTCCAGTACAAAGCAGTAGACTGACTAACTCTCGTATAGCCAATCTACTACTACCGAATGAAGAAGCTCTAACAACCTAATCAGATTCTATCTATCTCAGGTTGCAGCAGAAATCAAGAAAAGCTGATCAGACTTCAACCAATTCAATGAATCATGCATCATTCGATTAAAACCAAACAGTATAGCAATCCCAAGTCATTACAATCATGATCCATAACACATGGAACTAGGGTTCTTCTTACCCAAGTGAAAGAAGGGTTCTACTCCATAGAGAGAGAGAGAGAGAGAAAAACAGAATACAAAGCAGTCATACTCATAATAATGGGAAGAATCTGCTTTGGGATGGTGGTTTTCACTCCTATGATTATCTTCAAGCTCGATTTGATGAAACCCAGCTCCAAGATCGCTTCTAGGATGTGTTCTTCGCACTTTCTCTGTCTAGGGCTCTGTTCTTGCTCTGAAAAGTCAATCCCCTCACTTGTGGCTCGAATTTGGGTTAAAACCCAGAAAATCCCGATCACACGGGCAGGCCACACGACCGTGTGGCTTACCCAGCTGCGCGTGTGAGTTCCAAAATGCGGCGTTCCGATTAAGTGGATTTCAAGCTTCCTACACGGCCAGGGACACACGGCCGTGTGGAGTCTCTAGTATGCCCGTGTGAAGCCTCGCTAAATCCCACATGGCCACATTGGTTCCTTACACGGCCGTGTGGGTTTTATGAGTGGCCGTGTGGCTTCCTCAGCGACTCGCCATACGTCCGATCTTCGTCCAATCGACCCCGAACTCGCTCCCAAACCTTCATTCACGTACTAGGACCTGAAATATCACAAACAAGCACAACCTAGCGTAAAATCAGCCTAAAACACGAGAATCAACATCTCAAACGGCTCAAGAATAGGGGCAAAAACAAGTGCAATTAACGGTTTATCAAACTCCCCCACACTTAACCGTTTGCTTGTCCCCAAGCAAGCCAAGTCAGACACAAGGTAAGCTCACATATTTCAATCATACCAACATTGGGGACAAATCATATAGGCACAGAAACACGTGAATCATACTGGCTTTCAAACATCAACACATGAACAACTTCAATAGCAACCTGGACAACCACCACAGAGGACATTTGAGTGCAGCAAGATCGAGTAAAGGAGGAGTCTCCCTTCTGTTCATCAATCAAAATAGACTTGACTCAACCACTTACTCAAGACAGTCACCTCATGCATAAAACTCAAGAGATCATAATCAAGACCGAGCCATCTAGGTCCTCACCGGGGTAAAATGTGTAAAGAATAAGGAAATGAATCGCTCACTCTCGACCAGTGGGCCAGGACAATTTGATGCGAAAAATGCGCATACTTATTCTCTCAATCCCTAACATCTCTTCACCATGACGGCAGCCTCTAAATGTTAGAGTTCACATAAATGGTTGTCATCACTAACTAATTCTGATTCACTGAACTAGATGCATAAACGACTGTCAAGAAAAAGTGATCCATACAAGTCATAGTTGGTAATCAAACAGTTGAAAAACTGAACCCCTACACAATCCTACTGCACGTCTCAGTCATCATAATAGGTTGTCCTAGTCACAATCCAGTTGTCATGCATTAATCCGAAAACCATTCAATTCACCAATCAAAACACAGTGCCAATATGATCAAACAGCCGTACTTGGAGCCCTCAAATCTCGAGATTTGGACAGCGGACTAGGCTCCGTATATAGATTCCAACCGATACAAAGCACCCCCCCCCCCACACACACACACACTTAAGCACGACATTGCCCTCAATGGAGCATAGGGAGAGATAAGGGGAATGATGTTACCGGATTGAAATACTGCGGGAGACTGGAAGTGGACCAGTCAGCGGGGAACATATGGAACGAACGGGCAGTTCTGCACGAAGGAAATAACAAGAACACACTAGCACACTGTGTGTTAGGGATCAGAGTTGGCCCAGATGGCCACACAAACGACAATCCACAAAAGAAAACCAAAAGGAAAAAACAAACGACAGACTCAGTTCAAGCTCCTCAAACACATGGAGCAAACATAAAAAGTCTAAAACAAAAACACACACTGAGGGGCGACGAGTACAGCCTACTCGTCGCCATGGTTGTCCATATCGATGTCGTTCATGAAGGCATCATCATCATCAGCTGGTGGAGGTGGAAGTGGAGAGTCCTCCCCGGAGTCCTCCAGACTGGCCGCTCTCCCGATAGCAGCTGGAGCAGGTGCTGCTGGACCTCCTGCATACGCCGAGATCAGGCCTGCTCCCTCTCGATGCGAGCCAGGGTCACCCCCTGCTGGGTCTTCATCCGATCAAGACGCTCATCATAAGCAGCCATTTGGGTCTGGTACTGGCATGGTGAGCCAAATACTGCTGATGGAACTGGAACTGATGGTCGAAGAGCTGCTGATTCTGGAGACGCAGCTTCTCGAACTGGTGAGTGAAGTAGTCCTGGCCGGGGAAAGTGAAACTGCTACCCCCGTACTCGAAGGTGGTGGGACGGGAGGCACTAACGTCATCCACATCCTCGGGGTGGACATCCTCATCAGCCGCATCCTCATGAACCTCCAGCTGGTCCTCCGCTGGGATCTGAGGTTGAGGAAACCCCTCGATCCACTTGACTCCTCGCTCTTCTCGAAGCAGGTGCATGCGAGATATCGTATATTCGCCAAAGACATTGGTGTTCCCCTGCTCTGTGCAGCCCTATAGTGATATCTTGAAGTAGGTGGCTAGGAGGGTGATGAGGGGAGTGCAATGGAGGCTCTTCAGCTCTGAAGCACTCTTGTCGAAGGTTCTTGCCACCGCAGAACCCAAGTGGAGAAGATGATCCCCCTAGAGCATGGACTGGATGAAGTACATGGCTCTCTTAGTGATGATGCTGGCACTGTCCGAGGCCGGAGTATAGGACTTTGCCAGCAAGTGGTGGAGAATGCGGTTGTCGAGCTGCAAGGCGCTGGCCTTCGTCCGCCCCGCCATGAAGGGACGCTGGCGTGGTTGAGCTAGGCGGGTGTACAGTGTCTTGAAGTTCACCCCCTCTGGCTCGGTGAGCTCGGTGACGTATTCCCTATCATCGGCCAGGCCGAGGCCGAGGGCGGTCCCCAAGTCGTGGTAGCTCATGGATCGGGGTGCACCGCCGAGCCGGAACTTGACGGCTTCACCGTCTGTCCAATCCTCCGTCACTTCGTGCTTGAAGGTCGTATAGAACTCAAGCACGAGGTCGTGGTAAATCTTCTCGTGAATGCATAGTAGACGGCGCCAGGGGAGGTTGGTGACAATGGCGGAGAAGTGCTCGTAGCAGTGCAGCTTCTCAAACTCCCGCCTAGACCAGCAATGATGCTGCCCAAACGAGCAGGCCATGACGCTCTTAAAATGATCCTGGTGAGGGCCCCTCTCCAAATCTCGAATAAACGGGTGCTTGAGGTCGGGTTTCGTCATGGTCCTGCAAAATAACAACCCAAAGTGGAACCAAAAGAGCCAAAGGAAAGGTTAATCACACCCCCACACTTAAGAACAGAAAACAGCCGAACCATGGTTTCATCCATAGTTCGGGGGTCAAAAACTCGATCAAACAAGCATAATCGGGTGGCGGTGCACATCCATGAAAAAGTAGGCAACTCAAGGTTCACATCCATAGAAAACACACCCTCAAAGCACATCATTAAAGGCCCCAACCGGCGCCCACAAAATGGCATGAAAAACAGGCATTTCATCGAACACCTTGTGTGCACTATTAAGTTAAGCATGAAATTGACAAATTTCTTGCACACAAGGGCTCAAACAAGCATGGGGGACATTGCCCAACACAATTCACACACAAACCAAGCTTTCCCCTCAATCAATTGCACACAATTCACATGATTCAAGGTTGTTCTCTAAACATACACCCTAACACCCAATTCTCCATAAATCACAAGGTTAAGGTCAAAATCAAACCTGGAGACACAAGTAGAGGTGTAGGGGATGATGAGGGGAAGGCAACGGAAGCGACGAAAAGGCTAATATCTGCTCGGAAGTGCTCGTCGGAGTCTCGCCGGAAATCGCCTCCGGCGACTCAAAATCGGTCCAAATCGCCTCAAAGTCGAGGGATAGGCCGAAAATGGGGAGAAAAGGATGGGTGCAGAGGTGGTTTGGTGAAAAACCGACCAAAAATGGCCGAAAATCGCCAAAGAGGGCGAAAGGTCGCGGTTTTCCGGCGAGGAGGAGAGGATTCTGGCGAGAGGATTTGAAATTTCTGACCACGCGGCCGTGTCGGCCAAATTTATAAAGGCTGGGCTCGGCCACACGGGCAAGATCACACGGCCGTGTGAGGTGCACAAGTGCCCGTGTGGGCCGACACTGTCAGGCCGAGGATTTCCACACGGCCGTGTGATAAGCACAACTGGCCGTGTGGAAATTGTCGAGGCTTCACACGGGCTGGGGGCCAATCCACACGGCCGTGTGAGGGACCCCTCTTGCTCGTGTGAAATTTCCAAGGCCTCCACACGGCCAAAACCCATTTCCACACGGCCGTGTGACTTTTAGGGCTGGCTGTGTGGGCTGCCAGAACTCCGAATTTGACCTGTTTTCACTCAAAATCGACATACGACTCTAGGACAACACCTCAAGACTAAAAAACACAAAAAATCAAAAGGAAAAAGGTAAGAAAATGCAAACCTAGGTGGGGTCGCCTCCCCACAAGAGCTTCTTTACCGTCTTTTAGCTGGACGCCAGTAGGTGGATGCTCAGAGAGGTGTAGGCGCGTGTGCCTTCAAGAGAGGATCCACATCACTCTTGAGGTACAGCTTCAGATGGTGGCCATGCACACGGCGAATGTGGCCACCAGCACTCGTCAACTCGACTTGGCCATCCGGCAGGATGCAAGCGAGTGAATACTCGGATGGCCAGGGTGGTCGAGGCTCAGGAAGCGGGATCCGCTCATAGTGGTCTCTGGCTTCCTTGTGAGCAGGCTTAGTTACCTGCAGTGTCGGCCGCCACGGTAACGGCGTGGACGGGAGTGGCGGCAAAGTCATGGGAGGGGAATCCTGCAAAATAGGAAGCACAGACGGATACACGACAGACTCGTGCTCCTGGTGAGAAACAGCATGCAATGGTGATGAAGTAGGAAGAGTATTAGCAATGGAAAACATTATTTGCTCCTCGCCATCCCCCAAGACTAAGGTCTCGTCATGCACATCTATAAGGGCCTTGGCGGTGGCCAGGAAAGGTCTTCCGAGTATAAGGGGCACTTTTGTGTCTTCATTGATGTCCAGGACAACAAAATCCACAGGATAAAAGAATATGCCAACCTTAACCAGAAGGTCTTCCACTATGCCCCTAGGAAGAATTATAGATCGGTCAGCTAATTGAACACTCATCCTTGTTGCATTGGGTTCACCTAGTTCTAGTTTCTTGAACAATTTATACGGTATCACATTAATACTAGCACCTAGATCCGCCAAGGACCTCTCGACATGAAATTTACCTATAGAGAACGGGATAGTGAAACTACCTGGGTCCTTCTGCTTCTGTGGAAGCTTGTTCTGCAGAATGGCCGAGCACTCCTCACTGAGCTCCACAGTGGCCAGCTCGCTCAGCCTCCGCTTCTTCGAGAGAAGCTCCTTCAGGAACTTCGCATACTTAGGCATCTGAGCTAGTGCCTCCATGAAGGGTATTTAAACATGTAGCTTCCTAAGCATGGACGAGAAGTTACCAAACTCTGCCTCTAGCCTGTCTTTGGGAATCCTGGTGGGAAAAGGGAGCTTAGACTTATATTCAGCCACCACAGGTTGTGGCTTTGGAGCTCGATCCTCTTGCTCCTTTTCCATCACCAGGTCTTCTTCCGGCTCTGGGGTGCTCTGGGTCACCTTCTTGGCACTCTTCTGCGGTGCATCCGCAGTCACAGTCCCACTTCGCAGCCAGCGTAATGGCATGCAACCCCTCCTTGTGATTTCTAGGATTCGGTAGGGGTTGGCTAGGAAGTGTGCCAGCCGGTCGGGAACCAAGGGCATCTACCAGGTGCCCGATCTTGGTATCCATATCCTGCAGGAGTGCCTGCTGGTTTCTCTGGCCAGCTTCAATTTCCATGAATTTGCCTGTAGCCACTTCCATGAATTGCTCCAATTTATTGAACTTTTGGGTTTAGTGCTCGCCAAGGTAGTCACTAGATCCCTCAGTTCTGACATGGGATCGCCCGGTGCTGGAACTGATGGAGGTGCACCAGGTTGCTGATACTGCTGCTGTGGGGGCTGTTGAAAAGCATGCCCCTGACTGGGCTGATAGAGTGGCTGTTGTTGCTGCATCTGGCCCGGGCGAGGCTGGTATGGCTGCCTCGGGTTTGGAAAGCTAGTGCCAGGAGCCTGGAAGCCAGGCGGCTTCGGATTGCTGTTGACACTCCAGGAGAAGTTTGGATGCTGGCGCCATCCCTCATTGTAGGTGTTACTGTAGGGGTCGTTGCGCCCGACATTGTTGATGACGTTCACCTGCTCCTGGGGTGTACTAGACTCACGCATGGCTTGGCAGTCCTCCACAGTATGATGGGTGATCTCGCACCACTGGCAGAGCATCGCCTGCTGCTGTCCTGTACCTGCAATCATCCCGGAACGATCGAGGACCGAAACCAGCTTCGATACCACCTGCACCAAATCAGAAGAGTGGGTTCCCACAGCATGTACACCTCGGCTTGGCGCTCTCCTCGACCTCCTAGTAGTGCCCCAAGCATACCCGTTCTCTGCCATCTCCTCAAAGAGTTGATTCAGCTGTGGCGGTGTTTTGGTCAGCATGTTCCCGCCACAAATCGAGTCAATCAATTGCTTGTCTTCTGGGAAGAGGGCGTGATAGAAGGTGCCCACCTTGAAAGCATCATTGAAACCATAAATGGGACACCTCAGGAAGAGACTGTTGTATCTCTCCCATGCGTCCCGGATGGTCTCATCTTCATCCTGGATAAAGTGGGTGATCTACTTCTGCAAGTTTGCCGTTTTTTACGGAGGATGATAGCGGGTGAGGAACTTGTTTGCCAGGTTGGCGAACGTGGTGATAGATCCTGGAGGTCGAGTGTCTAGCCACTCCTTGGCCTGCCCCTCCAGGGTAAATGGGAAGTACCTCAGCTGGATGGCATCGACTGGGACCCCATTTATCTTGATTCCATCGATGAGCTCGTGGAATCGCCTCAGATGTGATCGGGGACACTCCCCCTCTTTGCCACGGAACACCACCGAACCGCGCAGCATTGTGATGACAGCTGTGCTCCTCAGGAAGGACCACATCATGGTCTTGTGGATCACCCATCTCTTTTTCGTCGGCGATTTGCAGCTGTGCTAGCGCCTCCTCCACAGCCAGTCGCGCCTTTAGAGCGCGCTTGAAGTTCCGGCAAGTTCGTTCGAGCTCCTGGTCTAGTGGTAGTAGATCTCCCGACTGGCTACGGGTCATGCACTACCTGCACACAATCAGCAGAAGCAACCCGTGAAGGCACACAGGTGGAAGAGATAAAATGCAATAAAGAAAAAGCTAGAGTAACAAAATTTCACGTTTCTCCAATAACCTAGAGGGTCCCCGGCAACGGCGCCAAAAACTTGACACGCCAAAACACAACACCAAACTGCGACCAAGTGTAATCGCAGTCCGGGAATGCAGTAAAGTGGCAAGTTCTTAATATCAACCCGGGGTCTAGATCTACTGCCTACTCCGTGATTATCTATTATCTATCAAACTAAGTCGATTAATTATGGTCTTAACTAAAAGCAGAATGAAAGCAGGACTTGGTTCGGTTTTCTCAACCAAAAGAAGAGTCACTCGGGAATGAGTCCCCCTAGCTCCTTAGTTAGGTCTCAGTTGTAATTACCCTGATTTACCAGTTGATTAAACTGCGGAATATCCGACAGTAGCTTGGAATCTCTTAAGCTGACCAAGCCCTCTCAGTCTAACTACTCGGCAGACGACTAGTCTTCACCGGGATAGAAAGCTGAAGCAATAAGCACAGAACTCCAATACCGGAATTGGATTCTAGTACAAAGCAGTAGACTGACTAACTCTCCTATAGCCAATCTACTACTACCGAATGAAGAAGCTCTAACAACCTAATCAGATTCTATCTATCTCAGGTTGCAGCAGAAATCAAGAAAAGCTTATCAGACTTCAATCAATTCAATGAATCATGCATCATTCGATTAAAACCAAACAGTATAGCAATCCCAAGTCATTACAATCATGATCCCTAACACATGGAACTAGGGTTCTTCTTACCCAAGTGAAAGAAGGGTTCTACTCCATAGAGAGAGAGAGAGAGAGAGAGAGAGAGAGAGAGAGAAACAGAATACAAAGCAGTCATACTCATAATAATGGGAAGAATCTGCTTTGGGATGATGCTTTTCACTCCTATGATGATCTCCAAGCTCGATTTGATGAAACCCAGCTCCAAGATCGCTTCTAGGATGTGTTCTTCGCACTTTCTCTGTCTAGGGCTCTGTTTTTGCTCTGAGAAGTCGATCCCCTCACTTGTGGCTCGAATTTGGGTTAAAACCCAGAAAATCCCGATCACACGGGCAGGGCACACGACCGTGTGGCTTACCCAGCTGCCCGTGTGAGTTCCAAAACGCGGCGTTCCGATTAAGTGGATTTCAGGCTTCCTACACGGCCAGGGACACACGGTCGTATGGAGTCTCTAGTATGCCCGTGTGAAGCCTCGCAAAATCCCACACGGCCACATTGGTTCCTTACACGGCCGTGTGGGTTTTATGAGTGCCCGTGTGGCTTCCTCAGCGACTCGCCACACGTCCGATCTTCGTCCAATCGACCCTGAACTCGCTCACAAACCTTCATTCACGTACTAGGACCTGAAATATCACAAACAAGCACAACCTAGCGTAAAATCGGCCTAAAACACGAGAATCAACATCTCAAACGGCTCAAGAATAGGGGCAAAAACATGTGCAATTAACGGTTTATCAACCCGTAACCTGATTTACCTGCAACCCGATTGACTCGCAACCCAACTGACCCACAACCTGATTAACCCGAACCCGACGAACCGCAACCCGACTAACCCGTAACCCAATTGAACCCAGCCCGAACCCGCCTGATTGACACCTCTAGTGT